TCATTAGTTCATGCCTAAATTTTATGGGGAAATCATCAGCATTTCGGGACTTGCAAAAATCTAAGAAAATCCAAACGGTTCGGTCTTGACATGCATGTCAAGATGAATACTTGTGTAATTGTATTAATGGCCACCATAACAGTGCACTAATACATGCAGTCAGGTTGCGGGCCATCGGTCGGTCGAATAGTCAGTTGACATAAAAAGCAAAACGACTGTTTTGATAGACGGCAGCACAAGCTCCCATTTGCTCTCTCGGTGATTGGTTGATTGCGGTTGCATGCGTACTGACTAATAATGTGTGAACCGAGAGTAACCCGCACTTGTGGCTTATTTGTCTCGGTGATCATGGGCGGATTAATTGTTCGGCTTGTTACCTGGCACCAATCGGAATTTTCGAGAATGAATGTTTTTAATTGTGCCAAACAGACGTTTGCAGATGATTGTTCGAAAGGGTCAACCACTATCAGACCGATGTTGTATTCCATACAACCTGGTTTCCGAATTCAAAGCAGACGTGTTCAGTACATCAGAGGATTATCTGTCTTCATTGTCATAAACGAACACTTGTGGCAATGTTGTGCACGGTGGTAAAGTCGCAAACATAATTCAGTGTATGATGCAGAGGAAACTTTGTACAAACTACCCTCATTAGAGCAAATTGTCGTTCGTGCTCGGAGACACAAATGAGCTTTGTCCTACACAATGGACTAAGTTGCATCCTCAACATCAAGTACCAACTCAAAATTTCCCACTCGTTCGTTTCGAACCATAATCAATGCGTTATTCGATTCTCCTTTAAACTTTTCCAAGATTTAATTTGACCTAGTGGAATTTGATTAAGCCGTTACAGAATCCTTACAATTGGGTTTAACAGGTGGACAGACCGCTGCGTATATGGCATATTTGGCGCACATCATGTGTGGTAAGCTACCACAAGTTTTGTCCTTGCAAACAGCCACAATGTGACTGATTTACAAAATGAAACAAGGGACATCCCAAAACTCCCAAGGAATTTCACATACCCAATCTCACATTTTCACAAAATTACGAGGCAGAATGCCTAGCAGATATCGCACCCGATTATAAAAAATCTCGGTCGGGTTCCGTTTGTGCACACGCAAATATCGGTAACTTACAAAATGTGTTAGCTATTCGGGTACACTGATATACGGTTACGCTTGTCGAGATCATTGAGGATATCTTCACGTTCAAACAATATGCACGCTTCTTGTGAATCTGTATGTGCTACATTGCATTTTCACGCTGGCAACTCGTTTTTCGGACATGATTTCGCTATCCGAATTCATCTGTTATGTTCAGGTAACTTAAATCGGATTATTCTTAGATTTTCTCGCGCTGAGCTGTGAAAACTGAGTATAACCTTGCACGTTGGACGAAATTATCTGACAGCAAGCGAATGTGGTTTCGGGATAATGCTGGTAGTTCAGGTGGCGCGCATGGTCCTTGGTTTGTTCGATCAGCTGTTTTTCAGCTGATATTTGACAGTTGAAATAGCGCAGCACATTTTCACAAATGAATCTAATTCCAGGATTATCGTAAACATTTCACTGGTGAACAACTGAGTTAGACCTGTTTGAGGCTCAAAAATCCAGTGCGCGCACGAGTATTCCAAAACTATATGCCACTCGTGTCCCCAAGTTTCATTTGAATCATGATGGACTGGGCCGAGTTCCGGGTGAGGCTGCAAGATTGTTCACACATGAGTGCGTACGTCAGGTTCCGTGATATCTGGCTTCAAGTGAAACACACTGTTGATGGAATCACTGAAAAAGCGCCTTCGTGTTGAGACCCAAGATGAACAAAACCTTCCGCTGGCTGTCAAATGGAGGGTTTTCCAGCATGACAACAATGGAATGCCCTTTAACAAAACTGTCATGAACAAGTAAATCCAGGCATTTATTGCAAAATATTATTTTCTAGTAGCACACTGCTGCAGCTACCCGTCATCAGCCTGTCACTCTTGAGTGGCATTTTTCGTTGTGCTCACCATAGCATATGTCGTAATACGGTTTGATTGCATTATATTGACACATTACATGCATGTATAAGATTCGTCGCATTTAGTGGACAGAAAACCAGATCAACTAATGAACTTAACTCCATATTTTGATACTTTGATATCCTATTCAGGAGAAAGATCAGATGGAACAGCTTACAATTCTCCCCTGTTAGGAATTAATTACGAGGAAAAGGCGATGCCATCTTCCAACCTCTTCATACTCACCGTCATCGATAGCATGACATCAGTGTTCATCACTGAGGCTTCGCTGCCGTACAACAATGAGTTCCAACGATGAATGTCACAAATCATCCGACCTGCGATTCTACCACAGAAAATCACTTCTCTTTCGTTATGTCACTTTACTATCGCATTCAGAAATATTTGAGTAACGAACCCAGACGGATACCAGAGCAGACCAAGTGAGATTTTACCTCGAATCAAGCGAAAATCGAACAGTAGGGTTATCAAAATTATCGATGTTTATGCTTCTTGGTCAATTTATACACCAGTTGTTTTTAGACTTCATTTCCATCGCATGTATTCAATATTTAGCATCTTCTGCCTCTCTACGTTTCAATTAGCGTGACGGACTTCCCAAAATGTCAATGTTTATCATGCCATTTTTGTTTGAATATTCAATTGGCGTGGATGTACTAATTCCAGATTTGAGTAATGAAAACCTAATAATGATTCCGGCAGAAATTCACGGTCTCCATTTTCGTTCACCCGTAGGTGGATTCTGCAAGAGTTTGGTGTGGTTGATTTTATTTGAGGTTAATTCGACGCACATTTCCAGGTTGATCGTAGAATCACGTGAGCCAAGAATCGGCCACTAGATTATTCCAATCAATATATTAGCCTTCTTTACTTGTTCAAGATCGTGTTCAACAAGCGCAATAGTAGAGACCCTATCTGGTGCTCAGCCAAACATGAGGCTGGCTAGTTCTTTTAATTCAAATGTGTTCAATAGCGTCATTATACAAGATGAGAGATACGTTGTTTCCAGTAAAGTAAAAGGGTTGAATCTGTCCACTTTCAAACAGAAACCATGCGACCATTACAGAAATTGCGACGTTTCCCTTTGAATGTCGCACGTCCACTCGGTGAACGAGGACTAGCTCTGACGTTGTGCCTGGAGTGATGTCGCATTCTTGAAAAATAACTGGAGGCCTTGATTGACCACCTCAAGTTACATTTTGAGTTGTTCATAATAGTACATAAGTTCCGGGACTTACAGTGTACGGATGTATCATCTAAGTTTGAATATTGTGCAGAAATTATGCGGGATATGTGGGCACCCGACACATTCCAAATCGATGACCGCCACCAACTGTATGCTTACCTGGAGCATAGGAACTTATGAGCCGAAAGTCAGGACTTACAAATTCAGATGCATCTTGCGCACGCCGGCGAAGTAATTGAACTAAGTTTGTCTCGTGTATTCAAGACACCGAGGATATGCATTGCAGATGACATCTAATTAGGACGAAGCTCGAGTCCTCCGAAAGCATTTCATTATCGACTGTCGGATTCAAGGAATCCCAAAATCTCCGGAAGGAATAACGCTTCTCAGAGGAAATCTAGAATGATGTTCACGAATGCCCGTATGCAGGCTGGTAATTGCTGACAGTTTTAGTCACCTTACCAATATTCTGCCGGGAGCATAATATACCAAGGCATAGTATTTTCCCTAATATTTACAACGTTAACCTGTTGATTAGTAGGGGCGACGTTATTCGAAAAAGAAGCATCGCTTGGAAAGTTTGCTCTTTAGTTAACCGCTGTTTTGTTAACATCAAATGTTAGCATTTCCTGATTCAGCAGGTTTGTCCTGGGTTTTCTGTGACATTGATATTTCGGTATTTTCAGTCCAAACCTTTCATTACCTGACTTAGAATTTCTCTCCATTGATTATACCGTCAGTTTGTTTGACACTCACAATTCAGACTTCCACTTGAGTATTTCGAATGTGGTAAGCTTCAGTTTGTTTGCAGTGCATGCTCCCATGTTCACCAAACAAAACGCGATTCGTTAACCGATCCTCTCGAAAACGGAAATTCATCAATCCGAGATATTCGTTCTGAATTTACAAACTCGTCCTCTTTCTATATCTTCATGCTAATCTTCAATTCAATGCTGCTCATTCCACCCACGTTGGACCTTGTGTGACATGTTTTAGTTTAACTTCAAACAAACAAACATTTGTTTCCCACAATCCGTGAATTTCTCATATACTCATTTCAACCAACGCATCGTTCAGTCTTCGGTATATGACTTTCGATTCACTTCCATATGCCACTTTCCAACCTTCAATTTGCCGTATTTTACCATGGTATTTTCAGTTGTAAAAGCACTGTCGAGTGCATCCTGTCATTGCCTTTCATATGTAAATGGAAACGCCATGTTCCATCTAGTGAGTGTTGTTGAGTTCGATCATTATCGGGTTGGATTGAAAGACATGTGTTTGAAGATATGATCTTTGCCATGGTATGGCAACTTCCGATGCCAGAATTTTTACTTTACCAATATGAGCGTGACGTGACAACCCATTACACGCCTCATGTTATTCGAAAAGCAACAACATACCGTAATGTTATACTACGTGATTAGATTATTCCCCAATACAATCAGAATTTTTACTTTACCAATATGAGCATGACGTGACAACCCATTACACGCCTCATGTTATTCGAAAAGCAACAACATACCGTAATGTTATACTACGTGATTAGATTATTCCCGCATCCAATACAATTCGACAATCTGAATCGGCACCGGAGGACGAAAGTCAGAAAACCGGAAGAAAATTCGTCATCTTCGTGTGCACTGAATTCCTCCTTGGCGATCGTGTACCCAAAGTCGTCCGACAACATCATCGTTGTCGAACAGTTTCTTCGCGGCTGGTTTTATTCTCTTACTCCGAATAAAACTCTTTTGCGCGTCTGAAGATTATCCAATAATGCACGATACATACCTCGTAAAGATACAGAGAAGGAAATCCATCGACAGCCCACAACCGCCTTCGTCCTTTTTGGGGCTCATAAGGTAGTACATTTCAAACAACGGGAATTTTCCGGGAGCTATAAACGGGAGACGAAAAATGAGTATCGCCATGGTCGACGACAAGGACAATGTGTCGGTAACTCACGTCGATGGGAGATGCAGTTTTTGAGACGCCAACACTATTAAATTCGTTGATTTGTTGCTTGTGGAGGCATTGAGTGCCATTCCTATGATAAGTGTAGCAATTTGCAACACTAAGGTGATATACACTTGAGGAGAGGTGTCAATGGCACCTTACACTTTGCTGCGGTAAGCAAAGCACGATGTTGCATCTGCCTAGTTAATCTGGACAAGCCGTTGTTGGGGAAAAACACTGCATTAGTGAAGTGAGCGAGTATTGTCTGAATTTAGTTTAAAATCGGGAAACGTCTGAAAGGTTCCTTGCGCTCACATCGTAAGGGGCCAATGTGGTCAGGACAAATTTGATATAATAATCTGTGAAAAACGAAGTACATGAGGTACCGAAACGGCAAAGAAGAGTCGTACCGATAAAGTCTTCAGATCTCTTATCAGAAACGAGGTTCCTAGGGGGTTTATATAACCAATGTGAGTTATTCACTTTTGTGTTTGACGCCGCAGAGCATGTGGTCATCTATTTATTGGAGAGAAATGTGTAAACCAAACAAGAAAATTTCATGAGAATCCCGACAAACTAAGCTCGATAAACCTCGAGGGCTTTGCAGAAGTGCTGAAAAAGAGCGGAAATGCTGAGCACTTGCCAGGTGTAATAATCATGCCTAGTATGCTGAATGGCCCGCTCCACTTATTCATCGTTCTCCTGTTCTGTGATAAACGAGCCGTTTGCAAGCACCAAATAGAGAGATTTGGTATTATCTACATGTACCTTTCCAATGTGTCATCAGGGTCGACCAGGAGCTAATGAAACGATGGTTCAGGTGAGGTGGAACCTATTGGTTGACATCCGAAACCGTCAACAGGATTTACGTGGTGATTGCGGGTTCGATCTTCGTTACCCCAGCACGACACGGCCATATCTATCTGAGTAATTATTCGTTGGTTTGTCCTCTGATGCGATCCTCCCTCGGAAGACGATACTCAACAACTTGACTCAGTTGAATGGAAATTTATACACACTAAATTTCCAAAGCATGGCTGATAGCCATCAAATCGAGTTTGATTCATGAAGTTGGACAAATCAGCATAGAACAAAGTGGCCTTGAAAATCAAGCTGACGCGAGGTTAGTGAGCAGATGGCTGAACCGTTGGGTTCAACCGTAAGCATGAGTGTTGGGTTGGATTGATTGCACGTAACATTGAAGCAGCACTCTACACATAACGGGTGCAAGGCATTCCGCTATGCGCAGTAGAATTATTCAGTTTATTTCAGATGGTCTGCATTTCTAGAGAACCTGATTCCAGAAGAGCTGCTTGGTTGGGGACAGAATTCGGCCGGTAGGAATATCCACTTGGGACATCTATGCGACGGGCGTGACGCGCTTAGTTACACGACTTGCACTGTGATTGGGGAGTACCCAGGCCTCCGTCGGAATTCGAAATCATTTCTGATGATTATCGAATTTTGACTGCATGTTCGACCGCAGTGTGCTCAAAATTGCAACTAATTTTTTTCGATTATTTGAATAATATCAGGCATTTTACGCACTCGGAAATCATCATTCTGTCAGTTGTAGGCGGTAAGTGAGCAACATGAAGAGATTTGCATTAATATGTGATCCTCTTCAACTACACACATCCGTTCAAATCAGGAGTATTCCGATCGGGCGACATAGTGCACCAAGCGGTTTGGCCACGACAATTCTAGTTCTCAGTGCTGTTGATGTGTTCTTGGTGGCACATTTAATGAACGACCAAAAACTGGGATTGTTATGCATCCACTCCTAGCTTGTGTAAAACGCTACTTCATAAACAGTAAGTGCATTTAGCGACGTAAACAAAGGCTTACATCAACAAGCTATCTGCAACTTCGCCAATGACTGGTTCGAATTGGGGACTATCTGGTCGTCTTCTCTGGGTAGGTTGCTCAGTTGAGCTAAAGGCATCGAAAGACAGTTACCTTGTCAAACGCCGATGTGAGACTGACAAATCCAAATGCAAATACCGCGATATTCTTCATAGTACAAATGAATTTCCTCACTTGAAGAAAAATTTGTCTGGTAAGATAAAGCATGTTTCAATGTAGAATGTTCCAGTCATTTGAGATGTTCAACTAAATGTGGGATGCTCACTTTTTGTAAGTTGGAACAACAGGATGAACAATCCATCATGAAGCCCATTCATCCAGTTTCAGAATAAAGGATGTGGGAATACCGGATGGGCGACACTTAAAATAGCTCTGAATCTAAGTGGATTTCTAATGATTGATGGCTCAGGCGAAAGTAATCACGATGTGTAGGAATCAAATTGTGAAATTTTATGAACCAATGTCGTAAATTGACTTCGTTCTGTGCAGAGGTCGCACATCCTTTTATTTAACGTGCTAAAAGTGCGTTGCATATCAATTGATAGTCTACATTTCGTCAGGGTTTACTTATTGAAAATTTGTTGATGCAACATTTGGTATCGAATTCGCGTAAACAGGCAGTTGAGGTCCAACAATAAACCACAAGCAATAATCATGATAGAATCACCAGGACTCTAAGTGAGACACGCTCAATTCATCACTGCACATAACAGGTTGAAATTGATGCCGAGAGATTTTGGCTCTTTGACGAAGGTCAGAGGAAGCCTCGAAGAATTTCCACAAAATATTTTGTTATACGAAATTTGATTTTCCGCCAAAGTAGTAAAATGGGCGTCCAATTTCGTCATTCAGTCTTTGCGAACTAATCGAGAATTCAGGTAAAACCATTTCATTCTGATTGAGAATCATCCGGAGTGCGCAACCCAAAAGAATCCATTAGCTATTTCGAATCCGCCACCTCGTGTTGGTAAAAGAGGTCCTCAGTCGTTGGGCCATAGCGGTTGTTCAACACTGTGATTAAGTGGTCCTTGGACAGGACCTCGTTCATTCTCCAGTAGCCGGGCCAATATCACTTAGTCACACTCAATGACCAGCCACCCGGGTGATGATTCCTGAGCTGGTTATTTCATTAATCACGTAAGTTTCACTCTCAAATCTCCTTGCAAACTTCTTGGAAAAGGGTTTTATATGCGGGCAGTTGGATTTGAAATGCTTCAGCTGAAGCATCCATATCACAAGTACAATAGTGGAGAGTCAGGCCACTGCGTATATGGCATATTTGGTGCACATCATTTGTGGTACAATTCCACAACTTTTGTCCTTGCAAACAGCCAAAATGTGACTGATTTACAAAATGAAACAAGGGACATCCTCAAACTCGCATGGAAATTCACGTACCCCATACTCAAATCTCACCCAAACGCACATCAACGAAAGAGAATCCCTATCAGATATCGCACCCGTTTTTAAAGAAACTCGGTCGTGTTCCGTTTGTGCACACGTAAATATGGTTAACTTACAAAACGTGTTAGCTTTTCGGATACGCTGATTTGCGGTCACGTTGCTCGATATTAATGGAGAATTCTTCAGATGCAAACAATATGAACGCTTATTGTGAATTCATATTTGTTAGGCTGCGCTTTCGCGCTTGCAACTCGTCTTTCCACCGTAAGGTTTAGACATTCGTTCGCCACTTTTATTTATCTATTATGTTCAGTTGTCGTAACTTGGATTGGATTATGTGTAGATTTTCACGAACTCGGATGTGGAAACAGAGTATACCGTATTTCACTGGACGACAATGATCCTCTAACAACTTCCGTTGAATTACATCCTGAGGGAGTTTTCCGTCTGTATATAAGGTAACAAAATTTTATTCGAGAATTGTTCACATCACCAGTCTCTAATGCAGATTCAATGAAAGGGGAGAATGTTGAATGACTGGATAATGTGTGATATTTTTGCACCTCAGACAATATCATGCAAAATTCGCCACAATTTTGCCACCATTTTAGGATGAAACCATTCATTGAATGCGGCTCATTCTTGCAACAAATCAGGCATCTGAACAATGTTGCTTGGATCCGAAGAGCGGAATTAATACCGCAGAATAAAATCTTAATTCCGGTCAAACTAGACATGAGCGGTAGAGATAGCCAAGAGAAGGATCAAATTAACGGGCGTGAATTGAGCGAAAAACAGTGGAAAATACAAAAATAATGTCAAATTTTAATTACAGCATAATCTGTGTATTTTCGTTCCAAAACATTCATTGTTTATCATGACGAACGCTAAATACACACTATTCATCATTTTATGAACATTTCGAAAATATCAGACCAGAGAAAACTACAAAAACTAAATATATTTGACATTTTGTCGACAACAGAACCTCAGAAATATCTAACTAGAAAATGTTCCGAGACATGGAAGAACAAGAACCCGGCGCTTCACCGCCTGAAAGCATTGCTACAGTTCACGTATTCGGCTGTGTATGCGATCTTGGGTACGTGGTCTCACCGGAGTATGCCCATCACCGTCAGGTTGTTGGTATGCTGCTGAACCTATTCTGGCTTCGTCTACATATTGCTAAGCCCCAATATTATGCACGTTGTTGCGTAAATGGCATGGTTCACCGAAAGTGGCTGGCTGGCAAAACATGAAACTGTCGCTTGAGAAAGAACATGGGGTCATTCACTGGCGAATTTCGTATGTAATTTATAACCCCGAATATTTGTGGGATTTTGGATGGCACGGATCGCTCTGTCCTAAGGATCGATGTACTATCCACTGTGTGCGATGTGATTTTGTTTGATTCGATTTGATTTCGACTTAATTACGTTACGTAGGTTCTGAATGATTCTATCTCATCTTCTGATTCCAAGTTTGCTCCGCGCAGAATTGCATGTATGGTGGGAAAGGGACGTAGACTGAGCATGTGGATGACAACCATAGAACTCGGTTCTACTCTTTGAAATGTTGTGGTACGTTGTGGTACGTTGTGGTACACTTTCACGCATCAAACTTGGGTAAAATGTGTCCTACGACACAGATCTTCATAAGTACAGATAAAGG